GGGGGAGGCTGGTTGGGGAATATTGCTCATTTGGTCCCCCGGTTATTTTACATCTTTCGGAAAAAATAATTGTCAATTTGGTAAAATTTCGGCATAAAGTTTGGTAATAGTGTGGACAACCGTGTACGTCATGTAAGATACAAGATTCTTCCTCTTCCAATATGGCTGCTCGAAAATCTCACATGGAGTGACTTTACTTCACATAAACGGTAAGAAATAGCTTTTCTAGACGAATTTCAAGTGCGATGGGCAAAGATAAAGCATCAAAACGTTCTAGAGGAAGTCTAGTTCAAGATATAGTCCAATCTGATGCGGTAAAAAGAAAAAATCGACCCATCAAAGAACGATCTCGACAGAGCGACAATGTTGATCAGGTATTTATAGATTTCACATGGGGGGCCATAGTTAATAGGTAGTGAAAGAAATTACTTAAATTCGATTCATTCTCCGATCCGAGTTCGTCTTATCGATTTTTCATCTTTATATTTGGCAGAAATAGACCTCAGAATTTGAAATCGTCATACTCAAATTAATCGAGAATATTCATTTTCATGATATTTGGACAAATCGGAGGCCAGTTGTTGTAGGTCAACCCAAAATTCAAAACAAATTTCCTGACAGCTTGTCTATAAATTTGGAAATATTTCTTCAAACATTTTGTCTGGATCGGTAGGAGTTTATTGCGTCAGTCAATTCTACGATTGCCCATCCCCCCCCCCCTCCCCGGGCATTTGCACTTGTTGTTTAGCTAATTAAACCTCGTAAGACTTCCTTGACAGTACACTGTAAGTTTCCTTGTATAAAAGCTGCAGAAGTCCTCCCAGCTTTTGAACAACAAAAATGTGCTTGTCTGTTCAGTGGTTATAGAATAACATAATATAGCAAAATAAACAAGGATTGTGCTATGAATTCTAGTGTTTTTATATGCTAGGTAGTCAAACACAACTCACAAGTTTAATTAGTCTCTCATGTGCGATTGGTGTGATGTTTTGTGAATGAAAATAGAACATTCTCTCAATATCAAAGCTTATCAGCATTAAATAGAAGACAATGGCAATCGGGAATGGTTTGAACAACCCTTAAATGGAAACTGGGATTTTACTTAATATTTACAATAACGGCCGGGAATGTTTAAACAACTAACATTATATTAATTTGTTGCTGCAGTATTTCAATAAACCAATGGACCTATTCCGTAATGAACAAAATTTTGATCTAGACAAGACAAACATTTCACCACAGCTTGAAAAAGCATTACAAAATTAGTAATATTTTATATTCCGAAGTTTCATTGCAAATGTTGTAAAATGCGGATAATCTGGCACTGCGAAGTTTGCCGTTTTTCAGTCATTTTGTATTACGCATGTGAAATTGATACCGCTTTCTGAAAAAAGGGAGGATTTCAGATAATGGTTTTTGTGGCGTTTGGGGGGTGGGGGCGGTTGCCTCCCCTCGCCCCCCTTGGCTACGCCACTGCAAGCAACCGAGATATCTGAAGGGGAATTTTGATGTTTTCTTTGTATTTACAATTAAATTTTCAAAACGGTCGTGCAATTTCCAAATTTTCCAGTCAGGCAGATGTGCAGAATTACGCACACAAAAACAGCGGGGCCTTACTGGTATATTTTAACCAAGGGTTAGCACTAACCCACCTTTGAACAACCTTGCCCCAGGGCACGAGTTACAGCATTTCAGAAATTTTGTTTTTACTGCAGTGGAAGTTCCAGTCAAAATGTATAGGAAAAATAAAATTTTTGAAACACCTTGAAAAAATAAAAAAATCTTGAAAATTTTACCAGCTTCTCTACGATCATTCAAAGTAAAAAATATGATAAATACCCGTACTTTTTAAACCATATTACATCATATCTAACCTGAAAAAGAAGGTCTGGTTCCATTATCCGCCCGGATATTTTAAATTTCCGGCCAGAGATTTATATATCGGGCTGGATGCTGGATAATGATAACTATCTAGGGTTCCGCCAGTCAAATTCAAGGACTTTTTAAGGAAATTCAAGGCCATGTATCAGCAATTTCAAGCACTAAATACCTAAGAGAAGGCATTAGAAATCAATAACATGTGACATTGAATTGTTCAAAATGCAACTTTAATGAATTTCAAACAGTTTTTTTCAGATATGAACATGCAAAATCAGTTCAACAAAATGTCCGTTTTTGAATATCCAGTGGCGGCGCAAGGGGGGGCAAATGCCCCCCAAAATTATTTTTTGCCCCCCCATTTTGCCCCCCCTCCAAAAAAATTATTAGTTACTAAGAGCGACTAAAGGCTACACAAGCATTCTGTCGTTATCGGAAAATGTATGGCTCATAAGTTGTCATTACTCATTAGTGAATGCGCGTATACATGGAACTGTTTTTTACAGTTTCAATCTTAGTTTGTAAATCTCTGAATGGTAAAACTTGCCAATACTCCAATAATACGTTTCAAAAAAAGACAAAAAAGCTTTGGTTTTGCAGAGTTACAGTGTAAATTCTCAAACGTGTAAGGCAATAATAAGATGAAAGTATCACGAAATTATTTGAATAAACCACATCGCATATATGGGGGACGAATGTCCTAAAGAGGGGCGATATTCCTAGGGTATTCGCCCCACCCCCCTGGGAGGCGATATTCCTAGGATATTCGCCCCCGGGGGCGATATTCCTAGGAATATCGCCACGTTTTAAGGGAGGGGGCGAATTTCCTGGGGGCGACCTTTTTAAAAATTCGATCTTGCCCCCCCAAAATTTGAGTTTGCCCCCCCCCTGCCCCCACAAATTTGGAAGCCTGGCGCCGCCACTGATCTAGTGTATATAAGATATCTATGATTCTTGAGCGCAAGCGGTTGGTTATTTTGATTCGTCAAATAACAATGGATTAAACGATATGAAAGTTATTTCATTCCATACAAAAGTATGAAACGTCGAGCTAAATTAAAGCTAACGTTATAATGCCTGCATTAAATATAGTAGAGGTATTTTGGGGGGACACCCTGTATACTATATATATAACGAAATGTTAACATAAAAATTCGTATTTTAAGAACAAATGAAAACCATATTCAATTCCAGGGCATTTTTTAAGAAATTATACAACTACTGGGGTAAGTCTCAATGAAGGCCTTTTGATGTTTGTATGTAATTAGATTCATATGTGCATGTACATGCAGACCTTGGAAATGTGAAAATGTACGCTGGAAATGCTATAATATTGCATGAAACCATGTCTTGCGCCCTGTTCTCTGCAGGCGGGCAGGTCTATAGCTACTAGGCCAACACTGAAAACAAACAGCAAGCTTCGCCGTCCAGCTATGTCCTATACATGGAAGTTCACTGCCTGTATCATCTTATATATTAAACAGTGTCACATTAGGGCCAGTTGTACGAGACAAAATAAGACGCGACTCAGTTACATAAGACGCGACTTAAATAAGCGAAGTTATCGCATAAATGGTTCTCTACGGCTTTTAGGGGCGAAACTTGAGGGGGGGTGTGGGGGGGTGTTACACCCTCCAAAATACGAATCATCCCGATTGGCAGGGCAATCAAAGGTCTCTTATAAATAAATGATAGCACATAGGCGTACCGGGTGGGGGCAATATTCGATCAACAGTCGGGCAATTTTGCATACCAAAACACATGAGCCTATTTGAATGGACATTTGCCATTTAGCTGTGCACACGCGCAGTATCAATTTTCTCGGTACGCGTGACCTATGCGCGTGACGCACTTTGTATTTTACGCAATGAAATATGGCGACCGCCGACGCCGAGAGCGTTCTAAATGTGAGAAATTACCACGAAAGCTTGAAGTAAAGGTCGACAAGACAAAATTATATTAATAAATTATCATGTTATAGACAAATTACAGAATTATAGGGACATCAAACATAATAAAACTTCACTGGACACTGACTCTTAGTCAGCAATGACAATGGTTCATCAAGATATACCACACAAATTTTATATAAATAAACGAATCGAGAATTTGTTGGAAACTAGCAAATGTTCGGCTTATTTACAAACCAAATGAGGGTGAATAATTTAAACTTGCAAACTTACTTGCTTATTGAGGCCTCAAAGAAAGGATTTCCCGACCAGTGTGAAAAGTTTGTACTGCGCACCCGAGATATCGGGCGCGCAATTTTGATGTTTTCTATATATTTACTATTAAATTTTCGAAATCTCGATTCCCGATAACTGCTGATGGCTTTCTTATTCATATCTTTCATCGTTCGTAGCATCAACAACAGACAATACGCGATTAAAAACAAATACCACGAGCATGCAATGCCAAATGAATGGCGAAATCGCGATCATAATAGACCACTTCGGCGGTTTTGTGTTAAGTGGAAACACGTGCTCGCGAAATCGGAAACTCGGACAAATATGGCGGAGCGTAATACAAATGCTATTCAAAATACACAAATGTTTCGGCCATTTAATAGATAAATTCGCGCGCTTTCGTCACGAAACAATAGTCAAAATGGAAATTATGTCACGATAAGAGAAATTCAAAGCCACGAAGCTGCCGGAGCTGAAAGTGCACTTACAAAATCGAGGAATTACCGTTAACAGTTTACCTCAAACCCGGACTCGTAGCTATTGCTTGTGCCGTCGAAGAAATGAGTTTTTCATTGCTTTTTCAAGTCAGTGAGGCCGAAGACCACTTAAATCTAAGCCGTCGTTTGAAAGTTCACGATATTCAGCTGCCTGATCCTTTTAAAATGAATGTTTTAAACGATTTTAAGCATTCTCGCGCGTTGTTTGATATATTTAATCATCTCATATATCACTCGTCAAAATATGACAAGCAAAGTCTAGCAGCAGCTTATAAATATCTTTTACATATCGTACGCATTTTAATGTTGCGTTTTATATGCTAGACGGAGATTAGGATTATTATTCTCCGTACTAGTTATTGCTGATACAGGGTCTAGATGTTCTTCAGTAGGACCATTTTGTCCAACAAAATGAAGGCTATAAATGAAGGCTATACAAAAATATAACTATCCTTCGCACATACAAATTTATCGCCTCTGTGACATGCACGTATCCAGCCCTCTCGTTTTTGCGCTGTGGTATCTAGCCCCAGGAAAATGTAAAAAAAATATCAAACATGGCAGAGCGTATATATACTGTATAGAACAATATAGAACGGTTACGACTAAAAAGTGCATGCGCTTGGGGTACTTGTAAAAGCGATTCACGGTATCCTGATCGGTTAAAACGAGACAGTAATGGAGCTGATATCTTTTTTTTACATTTTCCTGGGGCTAGATACCACGAAGGATAGTTATATTTTTGTATAGCCTTCATTTATAGCCTTCATTTTGTTGGACAAAATGGTCCTACTGAAGAACATCTAGACCCTG